GCACACGGCCCGAAGCAGCTCTTCATCTGGGATGTGAACGGCTCACACGCTACTGGGCCTCACAGCCTTCTGGGAAATGTAGTTCCAACCCAGTTTCCGGCGGGCGAGGACCAAGCTTCGGGTTCTCCATGGCAACGCTCAGGCTGCAACGCAGAGGGCGTTGAAAAATGCGAGTCCCGAGTTAAATGGCCTGGATGTGGATTAAGTTTCATTCGGGGCCTTCCTTTTAGAGAATCCCAGCAAGCGCCCAGTGCCCCAGCTCCTTAGTTTAATGACATGGAGTGCCCTAATTCTACTTAAGCAGATCCTGACCCAAAGGCTTTAACCATCGTTAAAGAACTGGCTAGTAATTCAATTTCACAGGCATGTTAGAAACTTTTAAGTTTCCTAGTGTGGTATATGTGTATGAATGTGTATATAGAGATGCATATGTCCTTGGAGATGAGAATAGGACGTTTGGTGTCCTTTGAGTCCTGTTGCCTTATAAGACAGGGTCTCTCACTGAACCTGAAATTCACTGTTCTGGCTGGCCAGTGAAATCCGAGATTCTCTATCTCCACCTGCCCGAACTCGTACTGCATCCCGAGTGCAGTGGTTACAGGCATGTGTAGCCATGTCTGGCTTTTGGGTATTTATGTGGAGGCCAAAGGATAACTCACAGTAGCCAGTCCCTGGTATTGAACTCAGATCACTAGTGCTTGGTAGCAATCTCACCAGCAAGGGTGCTGAGGATTTTTTTTTCTGGTGGGGAGGGTTCAAGTCAGGGTTTTTTTGTGCAACAGCACTAGCTATCCTGGAACTTGCTCTGTAGACCAGGCTGGCCTCGAACTCATAGAGATCAGCGCCACCACCACTGCGGCTTTCTTCTCTCTTCCTCTTCTTCTTCCTTCTTCTTCTTTCTTCTCCTCCTTCTTCTTTTCCTCTTGTTTATTGATTATGTATGTGTTTTGCCTGCATGCCAGAAGAGAGCACAAGATCTCATTACAAGTGTCTGTGAGCCACCATGTAATTGCTGGGAATTGAACTCATGACCTCTGGAAGAGCAGCCAGTGCTCTTAACCTCTGAGCCATCTCTCCAGCCCCAC